CTTAAACTTAGCAGCGACGAGCGAGTGACATACAATCACAGGCACGATGCTCAGATTTCTTCTGTGTTTATTTATTTTTTAATAATTTATTACCAGCTGACAGACTGCTAAAACCTTCCAAATGCAAAACTATTACACAATTTATTTATTTAAAAAAAATTATTTAAAACTGACTCGATTTATTTCACTTGCACTGCTGAACGGGGGTTTAATCTCTTTGGATTGTCTCTGTTTTTTTTTCCTGTGGCGTATTACTTTATTATTTTTATGATACAATGCTGTAATAACTTCAGTGATATTTCCCACAGTCTGGGGTCATTACAAAACCCCTTATACCGAGAGTACATCAATCCAACGCTCAATCGTCTGGTTTCCATTACTCTAGCGGCAAAATCGCCCAGACCAATCTCATTAAATGCTTTAAGCTGTCTTTCTGAGACCATCTGTTGGTTGCGAGGACAGAGAAATAACCTGGTCTGAAGGTGAACTGCAGATAATATTCTTACCTTTGGGAGAATTCTGGACATCATTAAACAGTTTTGTTTGTACTGTAAATCATCAGTACAGTGGTGATGTTTTCCATGTTCCTCTGTGTTTCTCTTTTTTGTACTTCAGCTGCAAAGGCAGCTCCTGTTCTTAATTCTTAAGATTTTGTTTGTCTCCATGTTAAGATTTTGCTGTGTACCTCCCTCCCTCAACTGAAATCATTAAAGATGCAGCAAGAAGATTAACTTGAGTGTTGCTGGTTGAATTTGTAGTTGTAGACTACTGTTTTTTTTCCAGATCAATAACTGCATCAATCGCATGAGCAACCCCATCAATCATCTTCTTTCTCTCGTGCCCTCTAGGTACCTCCTGCTTTCTACCTCTGCGTGTGTCCTTGCACACACACGTGTGTGTGTGTGTGTGTGATGTAGGGGGTGAAATGAAACAGTAGGACAGGATGAAAGAGGAGTGACATTTTGAGTAAGGTGGGATGCTGCTATCCCTCAACAAAACACTGCCCCCATGCCGGACTTTTACCACAAATGTAGCAAAACCTGCGAGCTAGTAAGACAACACAGACATATTGCATCATACACACAACAGACCTCATTCTCCTCATGTCATTTACCAAACACACTCTCTCAATTTGGCATCTATTTAAGCTGCAGCATCCCTCTGACATGTCAGTACTGACCTGTACAGCTGACCCCTCCACCACCCCAACATTCACCTGCAGGATTTAGGAGGTCACAGTTAGATCCACTATTTGCTCTAGAAAGACAGAGTTGTTTGCAGCATCACCTCTGTACACCACTGCAGTGGTGCAGACTTTCAGCTTAAAATCAGTGGATTTTACAAAGACCTTGCAGGAGCTGTTGAGGAATTGCAGCCATTCTTATGCAAAGCCCCACATTTTCAGAGGCTCAAATTTAACCGGACAGTTGACTGACAGGTACTTTCATGCCCAGATGCAGGCTGTTCCCTTGTTATTTCATGACAAATGGAGCAGGCATAACATCTGAAGTTGATTCAAAGTGTTTACTTTGTTTTGTTTTTTATAGCTGTCACTTTAATGTTAATTATGAGACCTAAATAGTGAAGGAAATCATCATTAGGCTGAAAACCCCCCAGAACATCAGAGAGACAGCCAAAACTTTAGGAGTCGCCAAACCTACAATGTGATGCATTGTTAAAAAGATTGAATGCACTGATCAGCGTAGCAACACTAAATAGCCTGAAAGACCACAGAAGATAGCTAAAGTGGATTAGGCCAAAATTCTTTTCATTGTTTAAGAAAAATAGCTTCTCAATTTCTAACCATATCATAAAAGACACTCGGGGAGGTTGGTGTATCATTGTCAAGGTCTACAATCAAGAAATGCCTTCATGAATGTAAATGCAGAGGGTTTACAATCAAGGTCTACACTGAAGACCAGAAAAACCAGGTGAGACTAGAAGACATCTAAAAGCACTCACACTCTCTGCTCAGATACATCCAAATGCCACAAAACTGATCAGACGGCGCTTCACGGTGCAAATGGATAATGACCCAAAACAAACTGCAAAAGCAACTGAAGAGTTTTTCAAGGCAAAGAAATGGGATATTCTTCCATGGCCGAGTGAGTCACCTGATCTCCGATGGGGATTGTGTATAAAATGTCTGTAATTCCTGATAAGTTAATGCAAAGCTTTTGTTAAAAACCTTGAATTAAAGCTGAAAAATCTGCTCTTCAGTCTTAATGGTTTGATCTATAATCCACCGTCATTGTCTCTTTGTCCAACAAATTAAGGACCCAACTGTATTTAACTTATACTTTCCATTATCATGTGTAACAATTTTGGGGGGGAATGATAGTTTTGGAGTCTAGAGGCCAGCACAGACTATTTTCTGCTGCTGTGATGAAATCATTTAATTTGTGAACTTTCTGACTGAACTTGGGGTTTTGCATTGACAACCTTATCATTAAATGCACAAATTTCACAAATAATGTGAATACGAATAAGAATAAGAATAATTTATTCTAACAAGGGGTAAAGACTAAGTCATTGCAGCAGCCCATGCAAAACATGCATGTTTACTCAAGTTATAATTATTAAAAAAAAATTTTTTTTATATATATATATATATATAAATATAACTTCAGTAAACATGTATGCTTACTCAAGTTATAATTATTAAAATATATATATAAATATATATATATATATATATATATACTACTATGTTTTAGTAATGTTTAATTGCTTTGTGTATGGATGATCATTGTATACAACACTGTAGCTCGTAAGGAAGCAGGGGACTTAGTTCCCCTCTTTGTTTATTGTTATCGTAAGTTTATATGTTAATAGGCCACATGCTGCACTAGTTACTGTAAGCTAATTTCTTTTTCATATGCAAATACATATCAGCATATCCCCTTTCTGTATTCACCAGATACATCAAAACACAGAGGACACAAGCATCATCTGAGGCTCCACCACGGCTTTCTGATTATTTTAATTTTCATACACTCTCCTGTGCTGCACCCCATTGGACAGAGAGACTCATAGCTTTAATGTCGAGCAGCAGCGGGAGCCTCCTGCAGTGCACAGAAACAGTTCAAACAGCCTGACCTTTCGATAGGCTACAACACGCCCAATAAAAGTGCCCAAGGACTGATGCCAACATCAAGTCAATGTGACATGATGGCAGCATCCCACACCTGCACCCAGTGGCCCACCGTCAGTGGGTGTAGTAACGAATTGCCTCTTATAAACCAAACATTTAAACCGAGACCTATGAGCCTCTAAGCTCTGACAAACAGGCTCACAGCTACTAA